CTTGGCTTGTTGCCTATGAATACAGTGTAATACATGTAGGGGATTGTTTGGTATTCAATTAAGAGCTCTCTTAGCTCCTGTTATTAAAGCTACAAACTAGTGAGTGTAAAATTGAAGTTGAACAGTTCAGCTCTTTTTGACATTGAAACACTGCCTGAAAAGTAGTGATGTAAAGCCCAAGTCAAATGTCACCCTTTAAAGCCCATGGAAAAACGAAAAGTGGAAACACTGAGGGGAAAGAGTAAATGTCCAAAGCTTGGTCATCTCCTAATGACACAGTACGTAATGTTAGGGGCATGCTATTTGCTCATGCACATACATCAGCCAGTTTGTCGAACACAGATATTACATTGATTTGAACAGAAAGCTGCAAGGTTATTATTGCTAAAGCTTCAATGAAGGAAATAATTAAAGCATTAAGCATTTTAAGGTTTTGAAATGACTTTAGGCAATCACCAGAAAAACACTATAGGAAATCGATATACTGTAATTGAAAGGAAATTGAATTGGTCTTTATTTTTTAATCCCTTCTAAATGTTCTCTAGACGGTCAGACCATGGAAGATAATGCATCTTGTTTTGCCATCAGCAGTGTGACTTTCTGTAAGTCTCATGTGCTGCAGGGCCCACTTTTATTATTTAGAAAATGCTCAGCCAAATAGATTAATAGGAAATTTTGTGTGCATTATCTTTGTTAGTCTCTGGCCTCATTGTTTAAAACAGAAACAACACAACCAGACAAAAACAACCTCTGAAGCAAAGTTAAGCTAAAAGCATTTCAAACAATGAGCCAGAGAAGCTGTTAGTTAAGTCTCACACTTAAACCTGAGTGAAATTCGAGATTCTATCTAACAATTTTCCTGTCAATCTTGCTCTGCTACAAGGGCCATGACCCACTGTAGAGACAAACTCAGTTTGGATCTGTGTGAACCTAACCCATTTTTATGGCTTATTATTGGAAGGAGTTTTTATAATCAAACAGAATAGCTTGAAGTGAATCTCAGGGAGAAGCTTGGATATGAACAGAAATTGAGGAATCTCAACCCTTGAGTAATCCTTGAAAAATCTGTATAAAATCAGCATTTCCATTATAATGGAGTAATAATGATACCTTCATCATTTGGTGGTTTTGAGATATAAATTAATCAATATATGCACAGCTCCCGTGGCTCAGACAGTAAAGCGTCTGCCTACAATGCAGGAGACCCAGGTTCAATCTCTGGGTCGGGAAGATCTCCTGGAGAGGGAAATGGCAACACACTCCAGTATTCTTGCCTGGAAAATCCCATGGATGGAGGAACCTGGTAGGCTACAGTCCCTGGGGTCACAAAGAGTCAGACATGACTGAGCGATTTCACTTTACAGATGATTAGTACGTACTGTTCACTACATGGAGATTTCCTGGTGCCTCAGCAGTAAAGAATCCACTGCAGTGCAGGAGATGCAAGAGACATGGCCCAATTCCTAGATCAGGAAGATCCCCTAGAGAAGAAAATGGCAACCTGCTCCAGTATTCTTGCTGGGAAAATCTCATGGACAGAGGAGCCTGGCGGGCTAACAGTCCATAGGGTTGCAGAGAGTCAAACATGACTGAGTGACTTGAGCATTCGTGCATGTGTACTATGTATGTGTTATAATTATTTTTGTAAAAATGATGATAATGGTGATAATTTCTCTTTTAAAAAATATCAATTAAGACTTTGGGATGGTCATGTACACACTGCTATATTTAAAATGGATAACCAACAAGGACCTACTATATAGCACATGGAACTCTGCTTAATGTTAGGGGGCAGCCTAAGGGAATGGCCAAACACTCCAGTATCCTTGCCTGAAAGACCCCATGGTCAGAGATGCCTGATGGGATACAGTCCATGGAGTTGCAAAGAGTTGCACATAACTGAATGACTAAGAACACACACATAGGAAAAGCCCCAGTACCATGGCTGACACATAGAAAGTATTACAAAAAATGTTTTTTAAAAAAGCTCTATTCAATGTAGAAATTAGTATTAATTTCTTAATAATTTCTTTGTTATGACTGTGTTTATATGTGATATTCTTTATTTCTAGTTTTCCAGAGAGTCTGTATCCTGAATTTCTCTATGTCAAAATTCCATCTCTAGTTTTTGGTGACCACAGCTAACATTTAGCTAATATTAAGCATCAGAACAGGTGAATATGAAAGGATACCTGAGTTGAGTAAAAAAAGTTAACAGTTTTAAAATCTAGACTGCTTTCATTAAGAACAAGAACAACTTTTCAACTTTCTAAGTGCTATAATTCATAGACATGTGAAAAGGATGGCAAGAAAGAAGAAAGAAAACAGAAAGGTGAAAGAGCTTCATAAAGCAAAGGAGAAAATTATATGTTCTGTAGTATATATGAGAGAATCTGGCCAAACATTAAAAAAACTTCATATCAACTTATTGATCTGCCCACCATGCACACACTTGATATTAAAAATAAACCTCCAAGGAAGGATTTTTATTGGCTCGGGTCAAACAACCGATTACTAACAATTGCTAAACCAGAGAGTCAGAGTCATGAAAAAAGCTGGGGGATGAAAAAGGGAAAGCAGTTGTCTAGGGATGAAAAAAGAAAGCAATTATCCAAAGGGCGGGATGGGGTTAGTGGCCATGCATGGCCACTGGAAGAAATCAGTGTGAGTTAAAAAACAAAAAAAGTGAAAGACAAAGAAAGGAGAGAGAGAGAAAAGAAACATTATATATATATATATAATAAACAAATAATGTTTAAGTCACTGCCAAGGTCAGAAGATAAGGTATAGCCGCCTCCTCTACTTCCTCCAAGTGCTCTTTCTTATCAATATTTCAAACCCCCCAATACTAGAGTACTTTAGAACTTTTAAATCATTGACTGCATTTAGTTCTGTTTAAAGGACGACATAATTAAGAAGAAGCTGGAAATTATATATTTTTAGTTGTTTGTCCAAAGCATTATTGAAACAAACTGCTTATCAGGTTTTGTTGTTATTCCAGTAGTAAATATTTTGACTAGTTAATACACCAAAATGCTGTGTTCAAGTTGGCACTAACAAATGTAGTTTATTTAGAAAAACTGGCAATAAGTTCATCAAACTTAAAAAATAAACTCCAAGGGAGAAAAAAAAAAACAAAACCCTGTGTTTACTTTGGCAGTTGAGATCCACTAGTCATGAATAAGATGATGTCCTAAAAGCTATTCATTTACTTAGAATTAGGTAATGTAATTGTAAAAGGTGGATAGAGCAATGGAAATTTAGCTTTTCACTTTGTTTTAGATAGTTTTCCACCAATACCATTTGTTCTATGAAATTAAACTCTTCTTGAAGAAGTAACTAGAAAAAGTACACATCAATGAAAATAATTGAGGATTGACTGGTTGACCTCAGAAGAGAACAAAAACTCAAAAGAAATTTCATAAGGTTTTAAATTTGGCAAGAGGACTACAATATCTCTGATAATTAGACTTTCAACACATTTGGATTTGCTAATTGGATCTAGGTTCTAATTAGACTTTTATGTAACTAAAAATGACACATCATTGTATGAATTTAATGTGCTTTTACAGTTGAAACCAACAATTAGCAGCTTTTTCCAAATTATTTTAATACAGAAAAGGCTGCCTTTTTGCTTACATGTGATAACCCCTTCTCTTAAGATATATTGTGTACATTTTAGTTTTCTTAATTAACCGCCTTTTGAGGAGCTTAAAAAGAAACATGAGTTTTAATAGGAAGCACCTAAATTGTTTATTTGTGAGGAAGACTTGCTGGGATATTGATGACTTCAGAAGCTTCAAACAAAATGCAATACAAGGAAATAATACAGTCTTTAACAGGAAGCAGCACGAATAACCAGGTGCCCCTATAAACCATTCAATTGATCAAAACAGTCTCTGAATATGACTAAAGTTCTGTTACATTTTTAAAGCATGCAAATATGGAATAAGTTCCCAAATGGGAAGGCTCATGGGGCTGGCATCAGGATTGATGACATGGTGAAAGTGAAAGTGAAGTGGTCGCTCAGTCGTGTCCGACTCTTTGCGACCCCACGGACCGCAGCCCACCAGGCTCCTCCGTCCATGGGATTCTCCAGGCAGGAGCACTGGAGTCGGCTGCCACTGCCTTCTCCAGGACATGGTATATCTTCCCAAAGTGTGTGTTGCAGCAATCTCTGCAGCTTCACTTCTTGAGCAGTTATCTGCTAATTCAAATCACAGCATCTCTCTTTCCTCCTTATTTTTGAATTGAGAGTCATCCATTTTTATCCCATTGGAATTTATAGGCAGTAATTTTAAAACTAGTAGCCCTCAGATTTTAATGTTACAAGAGATAACAACTACATAAGAATGTAAAATTACACCAGTACTTTAGAGAGCAAAGAGCAGTAAATCATTGCGAGACTTTAAGGGAAAGACTGCTGCCAAAATCTCCCGTGTAGATTGATAGCACTGACAAAAAACGCAAATTGCATTGTTTTATGTACTGTGGATATCTGAAAACAAAAAAGCCTTATACATGTTTTATTTTCCTCCAGTAAAAACTGTAACCTCTCTAACCACATTGAAAACCAGTTTTTTCCCCAATAAAAGCAATGTAAGATCTAATTAAAACCATTTAAACTGTAAGAAAATCTAACTTGTGCAGTAATTGATATATTAGAACAGGCATTATGCTAGAATTATATGTGCTATTATTTTTCTAATTAGTGTATTACTGAGACTAAATTATTGTTGTATTTATAACTCCTCATTAAGTCAAATGTCTTCAGTGAGTCCCCTAAAGCCCGCTGGATAGTGTCATATGCCATATGATATTTAAAAGCAATAAATAGCATTTTTGATTGCTTCATTTGCTATTAAAAAGGAAAAACTGCACAGGACCTTTTCTGTTATCATTTATTCCAAGATTTATCATGCAGTTCTCTGAAAGATTTATATATAGGTGATTGGACTGTTCCTCAGGCAGAAAAGTGACCAAGCTATTTTATCTTTCAGCTTGGGTGCTGGAATCCTGTCACAGGGCTGAATGGGTCCCTGACTGACAAGAAACTGGAGAATAACATGCGTGGAGTGGTTCTACGCGTGGTGACTGTTCTGGTAAGTCTGATCTCAGCCTTGTGGTTTTGGCTTCTAATAGGTTATTTTATCCTTCACTTCTTCATGTTTTATTGACTGATGTCACAATATTAAAAGAGCTTTTAGCAAATCCTAACTATGCATTGTATGGTACTTGTAGTGATCATATTTTCCAGCTTTCAATCTATGTGTGTCAGAATCGGGCTTTTACATACTTTTCCTTTAATTACAGTACTAATTTCATAACTTTCCTGGACAGCTTAGACCAGATTTCTATCCTTCTATGGTTTTCTACACATGATAAGATGGACTTCTCTCTCAGGCATCCTCTCACTGAATCTGATGGTCTGTGTAAATGAAGATAACCATGCCAAACAAGGGTGGATTTGATCAAACCCAGTACATTCAGTAACACTGAAACATTAGTAGACTAAGACAATACTTTCCTGGAAGTACCTACTTCAAAGTGAAGCTCATTCTATTGTATAGTAGTTATTTATTGAGTCTCAACTATATTTAAGCTCAGTACTAATCCCTGGGGACACTACTAATTAAAATGGACAGATATGATTCTGTTGTTTTGAGTTTATCATCCAGTGATTCTGTGGCTATTACATGGGATTATATGTGTGAGACATTTATTATAATTCCATTTTGTAGAAAAAGCAATAAATGGTAACTGTTATAATTATTCTATATATTATTATTTTCTCACATGATATATAAATAAAATGTTAGTAGAAATAGTCTTCAACAGCAAAATGCTCAAATTGGTGCTGTCTAAATAGCCATAGCCGTAAGGGATGAAGACATGCATTTTCCCTGCCTATCTCAATGTGTTTAACCTCATGCTACTTTATAATACATTTCAAAACCAAATAACCCATAGTTATTAACTTCAATTTTCTTCAGAAAAGCCCACTTGTTTTTAAATTTGAACAATTCTTTCTTATAGGCTAAAAAAATCACAGAATTAGTAAACATGAGAAGTGGTCTTTTTTGATGTGTTGATGCTAATTGAATGTTTATCAGGATTTATAACAGTGATGACTGCCCTTTGTACATTGTTTAATACAAATTAAGCAGACTCAACATAATTTGTGGATCTGTGATATTCTCTATAAAAAGAAATTTAGACGATGAGTCTATCTTTACTTTTTGTGCCTATAGTTTATTTTTAGCTATTGTTTTAACAAGATTTTCATTGTTTGGCAAATAATTATATTATGAGTACTTGAAAACTTAATCGTACAGGTGCTTCTGTACATACTCAAAAGTGTAGCTATGCATTTTCACTGATGTGCTAGTATTTTTTAAAAAAGGTATTTAAAGTATTCAGTTCAGTTTAGTTCAATCGCTCAGTCGTGTCCGACTCTTTGCAACCCCATGAATGGCAGCACACCAGGCCTCCCTGTCCATCACCAACTCCCGGAGTTTACCCAAACCCATGCCCATCGAGTCGGTGATGCCATCCAACCATCTCATCCTGTCGTCCCCTTCTCCTCCTGCCCTCAATCTTTCCCAGCATCAGGGGCTTTTCCAATGAGTCAACTCTTCGCATCAGGTGGCCAAAGTATTGGAGTTTCAGCTTCAACATCAGTCCTTCCAATAGAACACTCAGGACTGATCTCCTTTAGGATGGACTGGTTGGATCTCCTTGCAGTACAAGGGACTCTCAAGAGTCTTCTCCAACATCGAAAGCATCAATTCTTCGGCTCTCAGCTTCCTTCACAGACCAACTCTCACATCCATACATGACCACCTGAAAAACCATAGCCTTGACCAGACGGACCTTTGTTGGCAAAGTAATGTCTCTGCTTTTTAATATGCTATCTAGGTTGGTCATAACTTTCCTTCCAAGGAGTAAGCATCTTTTAATTTCATGGCTGCAGTCACCATCTGCAGTGATTTTGGAGCCCCCCCCCCAAAAATAATAAACTATAATAATCTTTTCTCTAGTGATTAACATGGAAGCTCAGGTGAAAACCACAATAAAAGAAAATATATGTGCTTTGCTTTTGCCTTTGACATACATATTTTTAGGCAAGCTAACCTCATTTAATCATTAAATATATATCTAGTACTTACAGTATGATAGAGTTATTTGGCAATGGGTATAAGATGAATGACACATATACTTATGTGCATATTTATACCTCAAGTTATACATAGACTTTTGCTGGGAGGTGCATATGTAATGAAACAGCTGAGATTTATTTAATACTAACTATGTGCAGACACCACCCTTATGGGTGAAGAGGAACTAAAAAGCCTCTTGACGAAAGTGAAAGAGGAGAGTGAAAAAGTTGGCTTAAAGCTTAACATTCAGAAAACTAAGATCATGGCAAATGTGCAGATACTCTACTGAGTTGTTTTCATGTATGATCTTATTCAGTCCTCATATTATTTTCAATAAATAAATAGTATTCTGATACCAAGAATCTGGTTGAAGGAACTGAGACATACAGGGTTGAAAAAAATGTGGATGATTTTACAGATAGTAAGTAGCAGAGAATTGAGATTCAAATCAAAAAAGTCATACTCTAGATCTCTTAACTTCTTCTTCCTTAACATTATATTTACTCCCTCTATTCCTACTGTGATAAGTGTGAGAATTGCAATAGCTATAGGATTTTCTTGAGAGGTAGAAATGCTTAACTCTGAATAAGATGAAAGTGAGTTTTACTGGGAAAGCTTCATAGAGCCAATTATTTTCAATTCATTTCTAGGCCAAGAAAAATGATTGCTATTTTGTGCATGAAATGGTATTGCCTCACACATTGTTAATACCTGCGTGCCCTATTCTAACCTTTGTGACGTGTAAATGGTCCGTTTTCTTCAAGCTTAGCCCTGCACCGACCCTGAATGTGCTTAGTGAGAGGAGATATGGAAAGTCTGTTTCCCCAAAGTCTTCTGTGGTACAATATGGATTTATGAGTTAGGTGCCCAGTTAAGCAAAAAGTTGTTACACTTATTAAACTTCCTCAGTATACAGTCATTGTACTTAATAATTTTTCAGGCTTTCTGGTTTTTCCTGTAATTCCTATTTGAATGGAAAGCAGCCATGACTTTCTTATTTATTTCCTACAAGACCCTTTCCAGGTGTAGCTCCTACTTATATGACCTTGCAAGCTTCTTCCACCCAACACTGAGAATCACTCTTCCCTAAGACCATGCAGCGACTTTAAAATCATGGTGTCGACTAAACCTGAAACTCAGAATTCTATATTGGACTTGATTTAGTCACCTAAACAATAACCCCTTGTATTCCAAGTATTTACCACTAGCCATTTCCAGAGAGAGAAAGGCGGGGGCGGGGGGGGGGGGAGGTCATGTGTAAAGGCCATGAGAGGAGGTCTCTTAGCCTTTATTCCCTAACTAATCTAGTCCCAGTTATCCACAAACACACACCACAGATTCTTTACTTTTTAGGAAAGTAATGTTATCAAAGACACACAGGTTAATAGAATTGTTTTTTCTTACTTAAGTTTTGAAACTCCCATTCCCATCACTGCTAAAGATACTTCATACACTTGAAGAAAATAATCTAATATTTATCTTAAACTAAATAATTCAACACTGTATTGTTTATGATGCCAGGGGCAAGTAAATGGGACTCAAATGGTTAAGTAAAGAATTAAATGAAGGGATTATTAACAAATAATGCAAATTAAGCTGAATAAATCAACAAGGGTGTTGAAGTGCCAGGGCCTAGATGTGCAGCAACCCTAAAGACTGATGTGATGTGGGAGAGAGTCTGGCAAAGCTAGAGCCACGGAAGAGAAACTGCATCTTAGAAGTGGTGACTTTGGCTATGGGAAGAGGTTGGAGGAGAAGCACTCAAATCACATTCAGGCAGCGAAGAAATGGAGAGGTGGGGTGCTCCAAAGTCACTCCTCCTATCTTTCCATCTACTTCCATCATTTCCAATTGCAAATCCAACCAAAAGTCAGAGGGCAGGGGAGCCTAAGTAATGAAGACCATGAAGGTCTTCTTCCTAGGTCCCAGCGCAGGGCCGTGAGGAACTCGAGCGCAAACAAGGAAAAACCATTTTCAGCATGTTATTTAATCTGACCTGTTAAGAACTTTATTGTATTAGCTAACTGAATTCTTACAAAAACTCTACAAGATATACGCTAATTACATTAAAGAATGAAAACAGAGCTCCAAAGAATTAACTAAATTTCCGTATCCATAAGACTAACAAGAGCCAGAGATGAGTTTCAAGCCCAAAGATCCTGATCCCAATGGCTATGTCTTTAGCCTCTCTGACATTCTGTCTTTGGAATCAGAATGAATGCTTGTTAGGTTTAAGTTAAATGTAACTATTGGGATTACAGATGTTATTGAATTCCCTAATTTAAAAACATTTTTTTAAAATGGCATTGCATAAGGATAACTTTATTTTCAGCCATCACCAAAGCCATATAAGTTTCTTAGAAATGGAGGAAAAGAAAGAATGTCAATAAAACTCCTTCTGCCAAACTCTGTTTCCATATTTGGTCTACTGATCTCTACTGCTTACCAAGTGGAGCAACTGTCTTCATATGAGGCATTTTTTAGGATTATTTTTTCATTTTCATTTCATAAGTTGTACAACTATGGATAGCCATAAGGGACCAATTATGCCATTCAGTTTTTTCATGGTTATTCACAAAAGTTATTGGAAGCATCACTGAGTTGTAAGTATCATAATAATTATGAATCTTTATGAAAATAAAATGGAAAGAAGTTTGTGACAAATGGAAGATTTAAGAAGCTATTCGTAAGAAAAAGTACTAGAGGTCTGGAAAACATAAACTGTCATTTAGGAGATCACTGATTAGTAACTCTTATTTTATTGATTTAGTTTTCTTAAAACAGAAATGTGGCATCTCTAATGAAACAGAAACTCACTCATAAATTTATTTGTGAAGTATCTATTGAGGGCCCTCTTCTAGTTGCTTGGGTACATGCGAAACCGATAAAGATATTGACTTTTGGGAGTTTCATTCTAGAAGACATCCAAAGCTCTAAGAATA